CCGTGGTGTTGGTGAGCTATATAAAAATATCACCATCAGAATATCATTATTCTATGAATACATTAAACCCAATCGTAAGTAGAGGTCTCGAAATTGCGATATCCTCTCTCTAAAATTATCTAACAGCGGCTCGAATCACTCGACGTTCTACGGGAGGAGATGTGGTACTGTCTATGTCTGCCTATGTCTTATTTCATTCAATTTTCTTAAGCACTAGCGCTCCTTCTTTTGCAAGAGTCTTTTTTATAAGTTACGAAGGATTCTTTTCTTAAGACTAAGTGCTATAGAGAGGTTAATGGCTGGCATTTTTATACCCGCTGTCGCTTAGCTTGAACTTTGGCGCAGCAATGCAAGAAAAGGTAGCGAGAAAGCTAAAACCTGACCAGAGTTGTAGGAAGACTTTTTCTCAGAGTCATCTCAGATGGCGCGGCTCAACAGTGGTCATAGTACAACTGAAGGAATTTTAGCATCGACAATGCGAATAAATTCTGAAGAAAAGGAACTTGTTGGAAATCTTGCAGCAGACATGCGGACGGTTTCCAACACTCCACAAACTCGCAGCTGTTCCATAGCGCGTTTCGGTTCGAAATAAAACCTAAGTCAGTTCATATTAACGCATACATGTACTCAAAATCAAAAAGTTCTCGACGTTTTTGATTGTAGTGGTGGAAAGAGCGAGTTCATGGAAACCATGATCGTACTACTGGCTAAAAAGCGCCAAGACAACCCTCAAAACTTTCGAACTAGCGACAGTAGGCGATAAAATAAGGTTTACGAGCACAATAACGGCAATCACTTCAGTAGCCACAACAGACGGTGAAGGATGACGTTCTCGACGTTGATCAATGCTTGAGGGATTCGCCATGAATTCGTCTTCATTAAGCATCGCTAGAGGTGGTCGAATGCATACCTAGCCAACACGTTGATTTGCGGTGGCCTACCAAACCATCGAGTCCAATACTGGTATCCGCCCGGACAAGTGTGGTAGCCATTCTGCCGACCCCGTACGGATGGAGGTCTCGGTGAGTCCAAGGTGAAGAATCGAACCAAGGCCCACCTGTGTATTATAGGTCACCTCTAACGCACGACGCATTCCGTCGTCTGATTTCGCGCTCACCGCCAGGTCGCGCGAGCCGAGTGACGTCTTCCCTTGCGTACACGGCGCCCAACGTCACCTGTCCCGCTGTTCTCGGGACCAATTCGTCTTCGATTATTGGTAGTCTTTTTGCCAAAAATAAATGTTCTTATTATTGTGAAACATCATCTGAAATTTATCTGGGTGTCTGCTGTATTAGAAAAAGTTTTCGTTCAGTTTTGGGCGATCGTAGACCGGGCGATTCTTCGGTGATCTCGCGTGACGGCCATTGAAGTCAATTACCCCGATGAATGTTTCCTTCATGAGTGGACACAAGGTTGTTAACAACAATACTTCTATTCTTGGCGTTCCAACAACAACATCAAAAACAGCCACAACGACAACGAAGATCTGTACCAACCTCGCGTCAGCTTAAGAAGATCAGTTTATAAGATCACATAAATAAATATTCCTAAGTAGTTGTCATGTTTTTTTACAGCCTGGTGAAAGCATTTCCAAGCATCTATCGCAGTTTCGCATCCAGAGGAAAAAATCAGCCAACAGCACCTAACGTTCGTGCTTCGTCCGACAATAAGTGGGAATCTGCTGTCGTGGACCGTATTATCGTAAAGTATTTCTGTGAATAGCAGCGATATAAGGGGTTTAGCCATAGCTTACATATTTTTGAGTTTCATTCCACTGTTGTCTATTCATTATGAATTTGTAAAGATCAACTATGTATATGTATACGTAGTTATGTACATATGTATATACATGTATGTCTGCGTGAATTTGGTATTTTGAATTAGTAAAGACTAAAAAGTTCTATTGATTTCATTCAAAGAATACTTTTGATGTTTTATTATCATTAAAGGCACTGAAGGAATCGTACAGGTATTTGCTGATATAACTCGTATATAATGCTGAGATATTTGCAAAACTCCGGACAACAGGTGTATGCGGTGGGGAACGAACGCGCCTTTGTCCTTTCAGGGGAGTAGCGCACTTCACCACCACACCATCCGGGTTCTTCGTTTTGCCTGTCTCTCAGCTAGTTCTATTAATTTTTTGCCATCAGCAATCACGATTTACTTGCGTCTAATTGAATGTAGAAAGTTTTATGCTTTAACTATGAAAATGAGGAATTGCCGCGAAGTTTCAGGATATTGTGATTTGGATTTGGTTGATGACATTATAAATTGGTTATAAATAAAAAGTGATTTCTGCACAACATGCTGTATTGACGAGAAGAGTTTTCTTTTTCTTTGGCTTTAAAGGCTTTTTCCTTTTATGTTTAATTTTTTCTTTGGGGTGGTGTCCTATATTTTTTGCTTTTTATTTGATATTTCCATTGTTTTTTATTTTGTATTTTATTCTATTTATCTATATTTTATACACCTTCCAACGGTTTACCCACTCATGGTGGTTGCGATGTACAGCGGGGTATTAATACCGCGGCAGGGCCTCTCACGCTGAGGAGCCCAGCGTTTCGATCATGATACTCTGCTAAGAGTAAACCCATATTAGAATCCACCATCGTCTTGGTATGAAACTAATCTCACGATGGCAAACCTCCCTCTGATCCACAAGGGTGGCGACTGCATGTGGTGGAGGCGACCTGCTGCAGACTTTGTCCAGGCTGAACTCGAGATTCCAGGGAACCACAATGGTTAAACCATCAAATCTCCGAAAAGATGTAGTTTATGCTAGGGCACGCACAACCAGTGAGGACGGGCCATTCAACTATCCAAGTAAGTAATACACGTATTCTTAAGGTAAAGGAGCGAGCCTTCGTTGACTACGAGTTCATCAGTGGGTACGGTTTATGTTCGAAAACACTACATATTCTTAGCCTTTATTTTCGCACTCTTTGACTGCTTGTATAGTTTACACTGAAGGACATTTACCGTACAATATGCTTTATTCTATGACACATTTTGCAGTTTTCACAATTGTCAGGTGATTCTTTTACATACACAGTCTAAATATACTCACTTGAATACTTGGACAGCCCATCCTTACAGGTTGTGTGGGCTCAGGATATTCCTGATTTTTTTTTGGAGTCTTCGTGGTTTAGCCGCGGTGTTTCCCTGGTGTCCTGAGATCAGCCGAGGTCAGCCTGGCTAAAGTCTGCCCCAGATCGTTACCTCCACAGACATTCGCCGCCCTTCTGGATCAGAGGGAGATTTGCCACCACTCGACTAGTTTGATACCAGAACGGTGGTGGTTCCTGGTATTGGTTCACTTTTAGCTGGGCTTCCTGGTGGAAACGCCGGACTCATTCCTAACTTGGGAGACCCTGCGGGTGATGGATCCTCCTCTGTACATCTCAGCTCATCACCTAGGAACACCTTCCAGCCAGGATGAAGCGGTAAGCCGTTGGGAGGCATAAAATCATTGTTGTTTAAATACTTGATGTTAACATTTCGTGTCTTTAAAGGTGATTTATAAAGAATAAAAACTATTTATTCTTTTTTGTTGCTTAAGTTGTTTCGGAATTCGCTTTTTTATGGTTATTACTGAAAACTTTTGAACAAAAATGTTCGATGCATTGACTGTGTGAAGTGAGTGTTGATCTGTGTCGAACGTTTTGCAACAGATCTGGTCTTAATCATAGTGTTTCGTAACTTGCTTATAACTGCGATTATGTCTTATCTGCCTTTTTGCTAACGAAGACTCTTTCAGGACATAACGTTGCTGATGAAGGTATTCCCTTTATCTACTGGTTCAAATGTGGAATGAACTCTTCTTGAATCTTGAACTCCTCAGAAGCTTCTGCAGATCCTCGCGATCTGTTTTCCACACATTTGTCAAAACGAATGCACGATTGAGTGGAAAAGTCGTGTGTTTTCCTGGTGTACAGAGACTCGAAGGCCATCTATTCGCTAACATCTACGAACAGCTCCTTTTAGTTGGTTTTCGATCGCGGACATCATAGTGGTGTCCCACTTCTCTTTCCACATCTCTTTTGACGTTGATCATTCCATGTGAGATGGATCGTTCATTTGACTTGATCAAGTGTTGTTAGAGGTGATTAGGTGCATATTTGGCCTCTACAGTGAGTTGTGGTGGCCTATCGGTCTATCAATTTAATGCTATAATGCCGCTATCCTTCTTGACAAGTCTTGTAGCAGTTTTTCAACCCAGAAAGGATTGAAGGCTTTTTGAGTCCTGATCGTGGTATCGAACCGCCGACCACGTGTTCGTTATAGGTCACCTGTAGCCTTTGCACTACTCATATCGTTTCCACATCTGTACAGTTATATCTCCGTTATTATGTTGTTCCTTCAACTGCATTGTCCTCGGTTTTTGGTGAAAAAACTCTTTCAGGACTCCTCTGGATTCAGTTAATGTGAAATGGTATGAATTCGGATGTGTGTTCCTTTGGAATATACTCTTCCCTCCTTTACAACTGTATACAAGTTATCAGAGTACAAATGCATTCTTATTCAAGAATTGTTCCAAAACCCTCATCCTCGGCAACCCTGCGAAATGGCGGTTCTGGACATCCTGTTATCAACACGTACATGTGATATTATATATAAGACCAGCTCTTGTCAACAGTGTAAATATCTAGCTGTTGTGTTTTTGCTTCCTCTTTAGAATTTAATTAGTGTAGTTAGACTATTCCTTTGAATGACAGCAATCAGTGCTTTACCAGGTCGCTGTACATTCTTCTAGAGTTCCCGCTTAGAAATTCGGTAGGTGAAGTACTGGCCCTGTGCAGCCTACCCTGTACATAACATCTCGCATTGTTTACCAAATTCAGAAGCTGTTGCTTAGTTATGAACCCTTCACATATGTCTCTTTTCACTGAATGTGATTCGATAGAACCTGGTCAATAAATTACTTTCACAATCACTACCTATTTCTGAAATTTTCCTTTCAGTATTGTCTAGATAATGGCGCAAAATCCGTCGTTCTCATGTCCCACCTTGGGCGTCCTGACGGGAGAAAGAACATGAAGTACACACTAGCTCCTGTGGCCGATGAACTAAAGAAACTTCTCAATAAGTTCGTCTTGGTTGTATCTAGTTTAAAAGTTTTGCATTGTCTCATGTTTTCCGTTCACATCCAGAGTTTTTTTCCAGGGAAGTAAAATTCCTAGAGGACTGCGTTGGTGATCAGGTGGAATCTGCTGTTGCTGATCCAGCTCCAGGCTCCGTCTTTTTGCTCGAAAACCTACGTTTCCATGTTGAAGAAGAAGGCAAATGTGTGAATGAGAGTGGTGAGAAGGTACGTTGATTTGATCCGGAAGAATTGCGTGGTGTGCGCATGGTTTGTGTGTTTGTTACTGAAGTTTTGATTTTCAGATAAAAGCTTCACCTGAATCCATCGAGAAATTTCGCGCTTCGTTAACTAAACTCGGTGATATCTATGTTAATGACGCATTTGGAACTGCGCATAGGGCTCATAGGTTCATTTCTTCTTCAAAGCTGTTATCACTAAATGATCGATGTACCATTCCAACCAACACGTGGTTTTCAGTTCGATGGTTGGTGTAAAGTT